GTGAAGCTTATGTACCCAGTAGGGACCCCTCCCCACCTGTCCCAGGTGCCTTTGGGGAGCAGAAGTAGCCATGGACACAGCCAGGGCTGCCACCAGCTGAGCACTTTTACCTGAGGACAGGTGACAGGTGAGACCCTCTGGGTAGCAGGCAGACCAGGGCTCTCCCAGACTGGTGTGTTAACCTGGGCAGGGGCTGTCGGTTGATGGGATCCTTCCGAGCCAGGCACTCATGGGTACAAGGCTGAGCAGCACCCATTTGTTGGGTGGGGAGGGGGCTTCTCAGCAAGTCCTAAGCAATGAATACCTTTCACCAGGTGAAGCAGCAACTTGGGGAGGTGGCGGGTGGAAGCTGGATGAGGGCATCCCCGTGCCAGATCCTGACATCCCAAGCCCAAGCCTGCAGCTCCTGCCATTCCAGGGGTACAGAGGCAAACAGTGGGGGCCACCAGACCCCAACCCGCCCCCAACCCCCATCTCTGTGATCCCCACATGATGTGAGCTGTTTAAGAGTGAACTTGGAACCACTGTCAAGGCCCGCCATTGTCAGGGTAGCCCGTGGTAGCCTCCATGTTACCTCCTGGGCACCTCTGAATGCCAGACCAGGGCACCACCTGTAGGTTTTCTACTCCTGGTCTTCTAGGATAAATGCCAGGCTTTTCCTCTGAGGTACACCTGTGCTACCCACCTTTCTGTTTGTGTCGGGCCTTTCTGACTGGGTCGAGGATGAAGCTCACCTGGTCAGCAGGGCTGTCCTGGACCCCAGGGAGCTGACTGTGGGTCACCCAGGCTGAATCCAGAGAAGGGCTTGGGGGGGTCCCTGTCTGGCAGTGGAGAAGGGGTGGGCATGGCCCCAGAGATGCACATACAAAGTCCCTAGCTCCTCCAGGCTGCCCAATGCTTGGCCTAGTCTGGAGTCACTTTTCTAGCAGTGAGACCTCCCCACCCCTCCCACAGTGACCAGGTTGGCTTTTCTAGTTGTAAGACTCGCCCCGGCCCCCGCCCCCCCCAGCAGTGACCAGGGCAGGCTGTTAGATGGGATCAGTGGACAGGGCAGAAAAGCCAGTAACGAGTTGTTCACAGTATCCTCTCTCCTTTAATGAAGCTCAAATCCTTCACCTCCTAGAGGAACGCACCCATCAGTCTTTTTAAACACAACACGCTGAGTGCACAGAATCGTGATATCAAACCCCAATATCCTCCCCACTACACACAGCCGACACCCCAAGAAAGAAGATGAGAAGGCTTGCCCACTCCTGCTGGGAGCCGGCCGCTAGTCAAAGGCCACTGCAGCGTTGGCGTCTGAGAACATTCCAGATGCTTAGTATTTTGTGTTAAAAAATATATTTTGTGGTTGTGCTGTGGACGGTGGAAGGGGCGGGTTCCCAGTGAGCGTGGGGAAAGCATGGTCCCGGCTCAGGCGCTGCCTGGGTTTCGTCACTTCCTCCTGGAGCTGTGTGGCCTTGGGACGGGAAAGCTGGGTTAGAAGACAGACTGGCCAGCGGGCATCTGCCCAGCGGACAACTATGCTGCGGGGGTGGGGGTGAGTGGCAGTGCTAGCTCAGGCCCATCGGGACCCCTGGGGCCCACAGACTCAGGCCAGACACATGGGGACCCAGAAACGACATGCACGGTGCCAGGGCAAATGCCCACCCTGCTGGGGTGCCTGGGCCTGGAAAGCCCACCATCCTGCCAGACCCTCAGCCGCCGCCTTTCGCAGGACACAGCCAGGAAAGCAAGTGAAGGCACTCCAAGCTGAACCCCACCCCCAGCCAAAGCCCAGACCAACAACCGGCCATAGCCAGGCACTGAGGTCTCAGATAGGAGGGCATGGCCCCCGCCCCAGGGTGGAGCCCTGTCCTCACTCTCCCCGTTCTAGCCCCCACCCCCATCCCCACCGCTCCCGCTGCTGGGGCTCACATGCATCCCTGGCAGCCCTTGGTGTACACATACAGTTCCAGCAGGAGAGACCACTTCCCAAGCCTGAGACCGCCACCCCACTTCTCCCCATGCAGACGGGGCTCCTTGTGGGGTCAGCGGCCTCCGTGTCCTGTTACTTCACTGCTGTGAAGCCCTCCCAGGGAGTGAGCCCTGCTCATCCCACCTGGCTGAGCCCCAGGACTACTGTGTGTGTCCCCTGGGAGACCATGGAAAACCCCATCACTGCCCATGGCCTGGAGTGCCAGCTCCTTTGCCTAGAATTCTCCACACCCCCTTTTGGGTCTGCTTTGCTGAGCAGATGCATTCCACACAGACGTCAGGAAACCTCTCACAGTGCCTCGTGGGCCTGGGGAGAACACCAGTCTCACTCTGAGGCCTTCATGGAAATGGCTCATCCCTCTGTGCCGGGTGGAGATGCTATGTCAACTGGACACTTGGCAAGAGCGGGGATCCAGCCTGTCAAGCAGATCCAATCACAGCCTGATGAGCCCTGTTTGGGGCGTGGCCTTCTCCGCTGGGAGCTGCCGCAGCCCGGCCATGTTTCCCGTGGACTTGGATCCACAAGACTGCACCAGCCGGCCTGTGACCTCCCTGCATCCCGCATCACTGGCTGTGTGCGTCTGAAGAGGGACTTATGGACTAGTGTCAAACTTAAGGACTTGCGTTGCGCTGGCCTAGGGCATTTTCTTGATATGCAATTACTTCTTGATGTAAAGTTTTTCCCTACACATATACCAGTGTCACTAGATTTGTTTCTCTGGATAACCCGGTCTAGCTCCCATTCAGCCTCAAGGCCAGGCAGCACCCCTACGCTTCCCTAGGGGCTTCAGCATGGCTCCTGCCTTCCCACCCCTTTAGCTGCCACCCAGGAATGTGGCTCCACCGCTGCTGCCTGGCCCCGGGGCACCTTCTCCCAGAGTCCCCTCAGACCACTGCCCTGCTTCAGGACGCTGAGTCCAGGCTGGCCACTTCTGGGTCCTCCAGTTCTCTGCATTCACCCCTCACTCCCCAACCCCGGAACAGCTCCCCCGCTGGGCATGAGGGGCCTGGTTAGGGAGGGCTGGCTGTGCAAGCCCCCCTAAGCCCCAGGTGGGCAGTGGTGAGAGCCCATGACCAGGGAAGTGGTGTGCACTGAGCACAGGGTGCAGGGAGGGGGTGTGGACTCACATGAGCAGAAACACCCCCCACCACCACCACCACCCAGGGCTGTGGCCTCAGGCCCCATTTGCCAGAACACAGGCCACCCAGGCTGCAGGCCCCACTCACCACCTCCAGGTCCTGAGAGGCCGCCCCCCCACAGTGCTTTCTCCTCTCTTGGATCTGCCGGATGTGTTGCCGAACCTCCTGCTCCAAATGTTCCTCCCAGGGGGCTCTGCGGGCCAGGCAGAGGGACAGGGTTACCGGTGATCTGGTCAGGTAAGTTCCCATCCGAGCAGCATGGCAGAGCAGCCTGGGGTGATGCTAGGCCACCCCTGGGTCTCCCGGGATGCTGGGGGACACCGAACCCCACCCGTCCAGGGGCAGGCCCTGGGCCTTCCAGGACCTGGGACAGTGGAAACAGGGCCCACGTGTGTCGACAGCAGACTAGGAGTTGGGGTGGCCCAGCTCTCACCCACACGTCCACCTCACAGCAGGCTCAGGTGGCATGCTGGACTGGCCCACCTCCTTCACCTCGGGGTGCCCCCGGACGGGGTGACTGAGGGGTCACCCCCAGGCTCTGGCTCTCTGGGACCCAGGGAGGCAACTCAGCAGCCTGCTGGCCATAGCTCATAGCCCAGTCCTCCCTGCTGTAGTGACCAGGCTCCCAGACCCCCGAAAAGTCCCCTCTGCCAGGGTCTGTGGTCCTGTGCTGAGGAAGCCCCCAGCCTCACTTGGTGGCCACCCAGCCCTCGTTCTTGGCTCTTTTCTCCACTAGTGCTTCCTACTCTACAGCCTTTCAGATGCCAGACCCACGGGTGAGCCCACACCGGGCACTGGTATAGGTGGGGCAGCCCTGTCTTGCAAACAGTGGTGCCTCGGGGCAGTATGGGCAGACATCTGTGCCCAACTCAGCACCCAGAGTTCCAGGCCAGAGGACACGGGGTCCACCTGGTGGGCTGAGGCTCTGTAACCAGTGACTGTCACCCTGTCCCTGCCTGGACACCCACTCCACGGAGGACCAGGTCCACCCCACACCATGCTACATGGAGGTCCAAGTCATCCGGTCACCCCCACCCCTGGTGGGCACTGTCCTGGCCGACCTGGAGGAGTCACAGGGCCGTCTGGGGGACCGACCTGGGTGCTCTGCTTGCTGGTGGCGGCTTCTCTTGGTTGGACTTTGCCTTCCTGGTGGGGTTTGTGGGGGGCTTCTCACTGCCCATCAGCTCGGTGGCTAAGGGGGCCCTTGACGCAACCTGGGAAGGCGTGACGAGATGTTCCACACTGGAGGGCACATGCCACCCAAGCGCCTCAGAGGACAGCACCACAGGCCTGCCTGGCTCCAGGGCTCACCCCTCGGGACAATGGGTGCACAGCTCCCCTGGGTCCTGTGGAAACCACAGAGACCAAGTCAAGGGTCCTCACGGAGCCCCCCTCCCTTCACAGAGGGGTCTAGTCATCTCTGGGACCCTCAGGAACAAAATGGTGGGGAGCGGGGTGCGGAGTTGAGCCCCACAGCAGGACAGCCTGCCGGTCTGAGGTCTAGACCTTTGACTGAGACCCATGAGAAGGTGAACCTGCAGGGAACTTAGGGGCCCAGTTTGGGGTTGTTTTGGATAAAGACCATTGTCCGAGTATGTGAAAGCTGCTTTGCCCCTGCCAACTGCCCACTGTGCCGCTGCTAACAACAGGCCACGCCGCCGCCACCAACTGCTCACTGCACCCCCAACTACCCATAGTGCCCCGCCAATTGCTCTGTGTCCTGGCCAACTGCCCACAGCTGTGTAGGCCTGACCCCAGGGTTTGCTGAAGAGCAGATAGCAAGTGTGACTACATCAACAGCCACTCTGGGTCCAAGTGTTTCTTCAGGGGCGTCTCCGAGCCCTTGGTGTGGGAGTCCGGCCGAGGCGGTGTGCGAGGGGCTGGGGCTGGGGAGGCCGCTGCAGCCGCTGACCTCTGAGCTTGGTTTGGGAGAGCACAGCCAACACTTTTACAGCAGCGCGGCAGGCGCAGCGGGTGGCCCTGCAGGGGCAGGCAGCCAGGTCTTTCCTCCGAGGCTCGCCAGTGGAGACCGGCCTGGCTGGCGGCTGAGCCCTCACTGTGCCCCGCGCTGTGCCAGCCCTGCTGCCGGGTCAGCCCTGACTCCCGGCGTCCCGTGCACCCCTGCCTGCAGCGTGGGGTGAGGTCTGTAGCAGGGCCACTGGCCGGTTGTCAGAGACGGACACCCCCCTCCCTGGCCTTTCTGTGTCACCCTTCACAGGTGGTGGCCGTGCACGAGGGGTCTCTCTCCAGGAGAGATCTTACCTCTGAACCAACAGGGCCCACCTGACATGACACTCAGAAGGTGCTCACAGAAGTAGGGGTGGGGTGGGACACTCACCCACCTTTCCCAGAAGCGTGTGAGGGGGCCAGGGCAGGGCTGCCTGGCAGCCAGCAAACCTGCCCCTCGGGGGCTCTGGATGGTCCCAGCGGGAAGATGGGGAAGGCCCTGGGCCAGGAGAGGAGCCCTGGTGTTGGAGTAGTTACCTGTTGGGCTGCTGCCTACAAGGCTGGCAGTTCAAGACCACCAACCACCCCTCAGGAGAAAGATGAGGCTTTCTACTCCTGTGAAGACTCACTGTCTGGGAAACCCTGCCCTGTACCAGAGCTCTGAGTCAGTATCGACTCCGTGGCGGGAAGGTCGGAGTCGGAGAGCCAGAGGTTGAAGCCGTTGTACGGGACCCTGCTCTGCAGAGCTTCAAGGCCGTGGCCATGCTGGACGAGAGCACTAGGCGCCCTGGGCCCTGGGCCTCTCATCCAAGGCTGAGCATTGGGAAAGGACCCTCCCGGGGAGCCAGAGAGGACCAGGAAGGGCTGGCCCTGCTGGCTGGTTGGGGTGTTGAGGCCTCAGGAAGGTAGGTGTTCCCTGATACAGGGTACACAAGACACCCCCCCAAGGGGGCACACACAAGACACATTCTGGACACACGCTGCTCCCCATGTGCGTCAGTGGAGCCATGCCGCCCCCATGTGTCTTCCTGTGGAACTGCAGGGCAGCTCCATGGAGCCCTGGGGCAGACTATGCCCCAGTTCACGCCCCTTTCCACCTGGTAGTGCGGTGGGTAAAGTGCTCAGCTGTTAACAGATAGGGTGGTGGTTCGAACTCGCAAGTTGCTCTGTGGGGGAAAGAGTGTCTGTTCCGTCGAAGACGGCAGGCTGGAAGCCCCAAGGAGCCGTCCTCTGCTGCCCTGACGCAGTGCTGCCTGCGTCCGCCCACCGGAGTCTTTTCTTGGGCTCCACACTCAGTGCTGAGCACCTGAGATGGCCCTTCCTCTCCGTAAGACAGGCTTCCAGAATGTCCAGAGGGGTACCTCTTTCAAGTTTAAATTGGTATTTCCCCAAAACGCTGACAGTGAGCGGCCTGCCCAGCAGAATGGACTCTCATTTGTCAGCCTCGGTGGGGACCGGCTGGTGACCCCTCAGGAACTGCCCCCCCAGGAGCTGACCACCCACCCCCAAAAGATGACCGCCCCCCCAGCAGCCAAGCCCCCAGGGCTAATCCCCCAGGGGGTAACTCTCCTAGGAGCTGACCTCCCCAATGAGGCGACCCCCTCAGGAGCTAGCCTCCCAAGAGCTGACCCCCTCAGGACTGAGTCCGGCAGGAGCAGGCCCCAGGAGGAGCCCCTCTTCGATCTCTCCGTCTGCAAACATTTCCACACACCGTCTGCCCACGTTCCTGTGAATTCTGACTTTACAGTCAGCTCTGAAGCCCTGGGACCGGACTCTCTGTCTCCCAGACGTTTCCCCCTGTCTCTGACTGGAGCATTGTGGGGGTTTGGGCACAGGAAGCATCTCCGGGTCATGAAGTGAGAGTTCCAGAGCTTCTGGGGATGACATGCGTCTGCACATTCTGGGACTTTCTTCAAACCCACACTGCCTGCTTGGCTGGTGTCTCCCACCTGTCCTTCCAAGTCTGCACCCCAGGGGACCATGTTATCCCATACCACTGACCGGGGTCCCAACCAGGTGAGGGCTGAGGGAAATGGGCTTCATGTAAGAATGCGGCCCTGCCCCTTTGGGGGCCGGGGGCTGGGGCGGAGGGGGGTCCACGTGAGTGTCCCACACACTAGGGGTTGGATTAAGGGCATGTGGGTCAGACAAGCAGAGTCGTGCCGTGGGCAGGAGCTGAGGTGCAGCAGCTGTCAGTCTGGGTGCCCGCTGGGCTTGGGGGACTGCCACAGCCCACATCACCCCTCCCACTCCTAAGCCGCCCTTTCCCTGCCCCTCCCTTGGGGCCTGCATCTGCATTATCTTTCAAAACACACAAGGGCCACAGACAGCAGCATGCCTGTGCCCAGGCTGGCGTGGCCTGAGCCCCCTCCTACCAGGTTCCTGGGCGGCGGGGGCAGCGGCAGGAGTCGGCTGAGCCCCTGCTTGTTCTTCTTCAGGCGCCACGTCTGTTCCCTCCACTCCCGTAGGATCTGCCTCTCTCTGGGGGAACACGGCGGCCTTGGTTGCTGTGTGTCAGGCTGCAGGGTGGAGGGAGCTTGTCCCTAGTCCCCGATGCAGCCCCTGAGTGGTAGCGCTGGGGAGACCCCACAGGCCTGGGGGGTGGGGGTAAGGGGGCATCTTTTCTCCTCTGCCTGCTCCCTGTGGCAGCCAGGCCCTCCTTCAAGCCAGGGACCCTTCCAGGGAAGAGCAAGGCGGGGGCTGTGTGCTCAGCTCCTGCGTCCCTTACCCCTGCTCCTGCCACTGCACCTTTGGGCTCTAGGACACCCGAGCTGGCCTCACCAACGAGGCCCTAAGGGGCCGGGTGGGCTGTCCAGTCTCCAAATGTGGGGGTAGCCAGCACTGCCCACCTCCCTGGGGCACAGTGTGCAGAGGCAGACCCAGGCTCCCCCCAGCAAGGCCAGCAGCCTCACGAAACCCCTGCCTGAGTGATGTCAAGGTTGACTCAGTGACCCCCAAGTCCAGCAAGGCCCCGCCACCCACTTCTGTGGCCGCAGCTGTGGGTCAGGGGCTGTACGTGGGCCCTGCCTCAGTGACCCTGTGCCCAACAGCACCACCGGGCCGATGCCCTCCTCACACCTGCCCCTGGGCTGGGCCATCTTGTCGACGGTCTTCCCTTTGCTGCTGCCCCTCTGCTTCGCCAAGCATGACGGCCTTCCCCAAGGACTGGTCTCTCCTGACAACATGTCCCAAGTTCACGCGCGAGACAAAGTCTCGCCACCCTGGCCTCTGCAGAGCACCCTGGCTATCCTTCCTCCAGGGCAGCTGTTGGTTCCTCTGGTGTCCACGGCTCCGTGACTTCCTCACCAGCACTGCCGTTCAACAGCATCTTCCTTTCCTGCCGGTCTCCGCCCACCACCCTCAAGCCTGGGGTGAGGTCTGCACTCATTCTTGTCAGCCGGTGACCAGGGAGGCCCACGGCCTTTCTCTCTCAGCTCCCCCTGGGCATCTGCTTGTGTGGGTCCCACGCCCCCTTCCATGCTCAGTGCGTGCACCAGTGAGGCTGCCTGAGTCCCGGGCCCTAGGCCGAGCGGGCATCTCCTGCCGTGTCCAGCTGACCAGACAGCTGCAGCCAAGGGGCCCTTCCTGAGATGAGAGGCAGCATGTGGGGGTCTGCGGAGGGTTAAGGTGCCCAGCCCACGTCTGAGGGGCTGGGACTGGGAGGGGAGGATGAAGGAGGCAGGGCGCCAAGGGAAGGGCTTGGCTAGCTCTAGGTGACCTTCCCAGGGGGTCCATGATGTCCCAATATGCCCACTGCAATCTCTGATAGCACCAGGGACTCCCCACTGGCCGAAGCCCACCAGGAGCTGTGGGGCACCCAGACGCGGTGGCCATGGTCAGAGCTGTCCAGCCTCTGGGGACCCAGGAGGGTTGGTTGTGCTGGGGGGTGGGGTGCAAAAAGGAGGTGTAAGGATGGGTTTGAGGCATAGACGTCAACCAGGGGTGGGGACAGTGTTAGCAGGGCCACATCAACACCAGACACCCTCACGGTGACAGAGGGGCAGCAGGGAATGGGACAGAGGTCAGCGGGCCAGGATGGGACCCAAAGGGTGGGGGTTGGGGGGGGGCTTGGTCTTCAGGAGAAATAGTCTCAGGACTCCCTGCCCGGTGCCCACCTGCCATCCTCACCAAGTTCCCACTTGCGTGCCCTCGCTCACCTTTTCCGCTGTTCCATCAGCATCTGCTTCTCCCTCAGCTCTCTGAGTGCGGCCACGCGGCCCTCCTCCACCCTCTTGGCCGGGAGGGCTGTTCCTGACGACGAGAGCTCCGGCAGGGTGCTCTTGAAGGGGAATGTCCACCTTCTGAAGTGAGGGGACAGGTCACGGGCGGGGCCCTGATTTCAGGAAACCTTACTAGGATCTGCCCCCCGAATACCCCACTGAGAGCACCCCCAAGATCCAGGACCCGGGGACACAGCCCAGGCAGGGGTTCTCGCTCTGAGCCCCTCCCCTTCCCAATTCCGACTTCAGGATCGTGCCCTCTGGTGCTGCTCTCACCAGCTCCCCACATCCCAGGTCCCTCAGCTATGCCGGCTCTTAGCCGGGCTCCTGGTTTAGCTGCCAGTCCTCAGAACTCTCTCTCCAGGGAATTTTTTAAAACCTTGTGGCCATGTGTATTCTGCCTCTGCCCTGGGAGACCGCAGCCATTCCCCGAACCACAGACACACACAGACACACAGATCACACAGACACACACAGAACACAGACACACACAGACACACAGATCACATACAGAACAGACACACAGAACACAACACATACAAACACACACACACAGACACACAGATCACATACAGAACAGACACACACAGAACACAACGCATACAAACACACACACACAGGACACACACAGATCACACAGACACAGACCCAGATTTAAACACACACACAGACCACAGATGGACACACAGGTGCACTCTGACATGTGTTGCACAGCCCCGTCTCTAGGCCAATTTCCCAGGCAGGACAGGCCTGTGTCCTCCTGTCACCCATCATAAAAGACAGCAAAGCCACGCTGCCTGGTGACTGTTTTCTGAGACAACTAGCAAGACTTCTGGCAGCCTGCGCGTCTGAGACTACCGGAGTGCGAGCCGGGCCCCGGGCTGCTCTTTCCGCCTGGTCCTGAGCACGGCCCTGAGGCTGGGTGGCAGCTGGACGGACAGCAGCTGGTGGCCCAATGTCTCGGCCCTCTCGTTCTCCACGATCTCCTGCCTCAGTTTCCAGAAGCGCCGGATCTCCGCCTTGCTTGGCCACTCCTCCAGAGAGGCACCGGCCTTGGGGGGTCCGGTTCTGCGCAGCTTTTCCGTGGGCGGGAAGGGCTCGGCCTTCGCTCTAAGCGGGAGCTCCTCAGGATCCGGAGCCAAGCAGGGAGGCTTGCAAGTACCTGTCGCCTTCTCTGGGAAGAGAAGACGCGATGTGAGGCGTCCGCTGCCTGGCTCGTCGTCCTGCAAGGACAGTGGGCAGGGCCCGCGTGGCACTGCTCCCAGCCGGCACAGGTGGGACAGGGGCCCCCGGTGAAGGGAGTTGGGGGCAGGCGTGGATGACAAGCGCTCGGCCTCCTGTTGGGCGTGTTCCGCTGTGGGGCACCCATAGGACAAGCCTGCGGCATGACCCCAGCCCAGCCCTTCCCTACTTTTATTTCCAGCCCACCGTGAGCCCCGCCCCGCTCAGCAATGCTGTTCAAACAGGCTAGCACCATCCCAGGGCAGGGCCCACCGCTGGCTTGGTGGCCATCCCCCCACCATTTCCTCGCAGCCTCGACCACATCCCCTTCCGGGTCTGGAGACGATCAGCGGCACCAAGAGTCTCCCCAGGTCTCCCCAGACCAAGCGGCCGGCTGGCCGGCCGCCTCACTTAGTGAAGAAATCGGAGCCCAAGGAGGCCACAGGAGCCGGCCAGCAGCACCCCTGCTCTCCCCCAACTGGCCTGGGCTCCCTCTCCCGCCGCAGCAGAGACGTGGACCTGGCGCCCTGCGAGTCCCACCGAGAGGCCGTGCGCAGCCTTAACGGCACAGCCTTCCCTCCCCACAGACTGGCCATTAATCATCACCCCACAGACCTCTGGAGGTGGCTTCTCTGGTCTCGGCGGCACAGACCCGCAGGAAGGTCAGAATAGCTGCCAGTCCCCTCTGCACAATGCGCTGAGGCGGGAATTCCAGAGGGCAGTGCCTCAGGTTCAGCGCCTTCAGGGTGCACACGGTCCCTGCGGGGGGGGACGGGGTCAGTCAGCAAGGAGAGCAGCAGCAGAGCAATGACGTCAGTGGCTGCTTGGAAATCCTACAGGGAATATGGGGTGTGACGGAGACGTGCTCCTACAGTGGGGGGGGGGTCCCCAAATGCAGCTGAGACTCTGGAGACCCAGGCCGGCCCAGTTGCCAAAAGGCTCTCTTCAAGCACCCGCACCAACAGACAGGCCTCAGGGAAAAGTCAGATCGCAACGGTGCTGTCAGTTACGATGCAAAATGCCACCTTTGTCTAAAACTGATTGTCGGGATGATTGTACAGCTCTTCTCAATATGACTGAACTATTTACTATTAAACTATTAAAATACAGTCGTTGTATTCTAATGACTGAACCAAACTATTAACTCTTTTTAACTATGACTAAATGATATGTGAATTATATGCCAATAAAACTGTTAAAAAATAAATAAAACGTCACATTTCCAAGAACAAAACTATGAAACAAACAAGGAAAATGAAATTACGACGTAACAGAGGTCAGCCATGGGCCGGAACACGGGCAGTGCACCCTTTTGCACAGCAGCTCAGTCTTGCTCACGCATTTTGACTCCCACAGGAGAAGCCAACAGTGCCCCGCTCAAAGATGGCGGCTGGTCACGCCTTCACACACGTTCAAAATGGGGCTCGCCCGCCAGCTTTGAGTGGGGCGCAGCTGCCTATTTCCCGTTGTTAAAGGCTACAGAGTGGGCGCTGGCTGATAGCGACTGATCACTTGATTGTAGTATGCATAACAGATCAAAGCGCTGCTTGGTCTAGCGCTGTCCCCACTTGCCATCTCTGAACCCGCCGCTGGGACCACTGTGTCCATCCATCCCATTGGGCTCCTCCTCCCTCTTTTCTCGGACCCTCTGTTCCACCCCCTCCCCAAGTATGATGCCCTTCTCCCGGCACTGGCCCCCAGTGGGTATGGATGGCAGAGTCCTGACATCCTCGCTGCTAAGGGGCATTCGGGTGTCCGACTGCAAACATCAGATGTACTTGTTTGTGCTTCTCCCGGTCCATGGGATGCTCGGTGTTCTTTGCCAGCCCCATTCAAAGGCCAGCCCCGTGGACGTCCTTACTCATTCCCAGGGTCTGCGTGCGGATGAAGTGACCTGGAAGTGACCAGCGCCTTTCATCTTCAATATTGAAACAGAGGCCTTTGGCAGCAGGTTTGTCCACTAAGGGGCAGCATCTGATTTCCTGGCTGCTGCATCATTGTTTGCTGATAGTGGACCCAAGTAAAATACAAGTCCCTGACAACTTAAATGTTTTCTCTTGCATCGCAAGGTTGCCGTGGGCAGATTCCATGGGAGCACAAGTTGGTGTTCTGGATTCTCATGCTTCAGGTTGTCCATAATTTTGTTGGAAGTTTTGTGAATGGGATGGGGGTTTCGTATGAGACAGTTTTTTTATCCCACCACTTAAATTAAAGAGCGTCTCCAACCTCCCCGTGGCTTGCCTGGTTTCCCACCCCCTTTCCCCATTCACCCTTTGTGGGATATTATCTTTCCCTTCACCCACGTGAACACCAGACTACCCTCCAGCCTGTTGCTTCCCCTCCCCCCCACTCGCCTACAATGCACATGGGTCTGGACATATCAGCTCATGTTATGTTCTGGGTCTAAAGGGTCTACACACCAAGTAACACTATTGCTGGTGGGACTTGTTTGAGGAGGTGGCACACGGGTTTCCACACCTCTCGCCACCCAGTTCAGATTTTGCTTTCTGCTATTTTGAACTCTGCTCTCAATGCTGCAGTGAGGCGGCACCTCATCAATGCTTTGACTGGGATCTCTGATGGCTAGTGACCTCAGGCATTGCTTCATGGTCGGTGGCGACCTGAGTGTCCTCTTTGGTAAACTCTTTGTCCATGTCCTCGGCCTACTTTGTAATTGGGTGATTTGGCCTTTTCTTGTTGAGGTGTTTAAGTTTTCTCTAGATCAGAGACTTGTTCCTTGTGTCCAGGATGCCATTGTCAAAACTGTCCCAGTTTGTGGGTGCTCTTTGGGTTCTTTCAGTAAAATCTTTGGCTGCACAGAAGTTTCTTATTTCATGAGCCCCAGTCATCTTTCTGTCTGGTGCTGTGTGCACGTGTTTCATGAGGCTTGATAGTGTGTTTGTTTGTGCCCTGTATTAGGACCCAAAGGGTCCCTACTTTTCCACGGATGATCTTTACAGTTCAAGAGTTAATAAAACAGATTGGGATAACAGTTGTATGAGCCCCAAATAAAATGATTTTTTTAAAAGAAAAAAACACACAAAAAAACCCAAAAACACACACACACACAAAAAAAGAGTTAATAAAACAGTTCGGCTCCAATCCCTCAAGTTGGTTTTTGTACTTGGAGTGGGTATGGGTTCCGCTTCGTTCTGCAAACGGAGATCCAATTTTGCCAGCACCATTTGCTGACGAGACCAGCTCATCCTCTGTTAATGTGTTTTGGTCCTTTGGTTTTAAAAACACCAAATTCGTTATCTGCAGGAGGATGGGTTTATTTCTGGGTTCTCTACTCTGTTCCGTTGGTCTGTCATTGCACCAATGACTGCTTAGTAGGTTTTGTGAATGAAAGTGGGGTCTCCTACCTGTTGTTGGTCCTTAGTAATGGTTATCCAGTCTCTTATGATCCAGGCAAATGCCTTTGCAAAGTCAATGAAACACAGACAAGAGCTTTCTGCTGTTCTGTGCTTTTAGCTTAGACCCATCTGACATCAGCAATAACACCCCTCGCTCCAACATCGCCTGGTGGTTGAATCTGCCTTGGGGTTCTGACCAGTTCCTGGTCAATGTACTGCAGAAACCATTTCTGAATTATCTTCAGAAAATTTTGACTTGCGTGTGGTATTAATTTGGGATGACTTTTGTATCCTGTTGGCTTACCTTTCATTGGGATAGGCACAGGATGGCTCTCTCCTCCTGGTCAGCCAGGTAGCTACTGCCCACATTTCATAGACGAGTGAGTGCTTCCAGCCAGCACTGCACTGGTTTGTTCAAACTTCTCAATTCTCCCCAGAGCCTTCAGTGCAGTTTATAGACATCTCCCGTCAACACCACTGCTTCTAAATCATATGCTACCTTCTGAAACGGTTGAACATCACAGTTACTTTGTGTATTACCTCCCTTATGCCTCCACCCCTTAGTCAGTCAATACTTTGCTCTTGGGGTCCTTCAGTGTTCCCGCTAGAGACCTGAATTCCCCTCTGACTCCTCAATGGGAGGAATGCTGAGTGCACGTCCCTGTTGGTCTTCTGCCTTGAGGTCTTTGCATTTCCTTGTGAAGCTTGGTCTCCTTCAGCCACTCTCTGAAACTTCAGCTTTTACTCCATCATTCTGGCTTTAGCTACTCTATGATCAAGAAAAGTTTCAGAGTCTCTTCTAACATCTATCTTGGTCTTTTCTTTCTTTCTTGCCTTTTCAATGTCTAATATCATCCCATAATGCACCTGTTTTTCGGACTTTGGTATTCACCGCACCAAATCTACTGCAATGGTCTCTAAATTCAAGTGGGATACAACTCAAGGTCTTACTTCGACTCTCAAGAGCTCATGTGATTTTCTTCAGCTTCCCCTTAGAGTTGCCTATGAGCCACAGATGGTGTGTTTCCCACTTGAGCCTGGACTTGTTCTGACTGGTGATCTTGAACTTCTCCATGGCTTCTTCCCACAGATGAAGTTGATTCCGTTCTTGTATATTCCACCTGGTGAGGGCAGTACCTTAAAGATCCTTAATCAGCCCCTGAGTTCCCGGGACCCCTCCAAAGCGGTGGAGACAGCACTGAAAGGGCAATCGCACATCTGTGGCTTTCAGAGAGAAATGATCTAGACTGCGGGCTGGCTAGTGGTCAGGAGAGAACCAGGCAATACGCTTTCTGGAAGGAACAGTCCTGGGGTAAGACCAAATATCAAACAGGGTCCTCAGACTTGATGTCATCAAAGAAGTCACAATTTGATGGAGTTCCTTTGTAGATCTAGCTGTTGCCCAGGGCGTTGTTGACAGCAATTGAGCAATCAACTGACAGTTTATGAACTTGTACTGCAGGGGAGGAGGAGGGGAAGAGAAGAGAGAGCCTCACCGATGGCACTTTCTCCTCAGGTGAGCCAGGACACCCAAAGGGAAGGGTGCTAAGAGGCGGGCATGGGGTGGGGAAGACTTCACTGATAGACTCCAGGCAGACACTGAACAATAAACAAGTAACAGCAAGCCCCTGGGGGGGGTGGGGGAGAGGGCAGGACCAGAGCTGCTGGAAGATGCCGTCTGAAATGTCCAGTCCCAACAAAACATGAAAGGCATGTAAAGAGATGGATCAGTGTAGCCCAGGTACCAGAGGAAAAGGGATACAGGGAGAACTGCGTGTGAGAGCGAGCAGATGCCAACTTTCACAGGAAGAGCTTCACAACAGCCATTAGAGTCTGTTCGCGGAACTAAAGGGTGCCACGCTGAGCCAAGGGTGGCAATGCCACATCGAATAAAGCAAATCAGTGAAATGTGCCGCCGCCCCAGGTTGGCTCTGGCTCACGGTGGCCTGACGGGACAGCACAGAACTGCTTCGGAGGGTCTCGGTGGCCGTGAACGTTTTCGGAAGCAGACTGCCTCATCTTTCTCTGCAGAGGGACAGGTGAGTTCAAACTGCCAACCTTTCGATTGGCATCCCCAATGCTTAACCCACTGCAGCACCAGGGCTTCTTCAGCAAAGAGGAGGAGATGTGAAAAAGAACACCTGGAATTCTGGAGTTAAAAAGTATTAAAATAAAATAAAAAATCCACTGGAAGGGCTCAACAGATTTGAACTGATAGAATCGTTCAACAAACTTGAAGATAGGATAGAAATAACATAAGCAGAAATATATATAGAGAAAACTAGCAAACGTAATACAGAAATATTACATATTGTGACCTAGCAGGATTTATCCCCGTAATACAACTTATGGGTTCATGTGAGCCTATAAAGGTATGGGCAGTAAAATATTTTCCTAAGCTGTCTTTTGGGTCAAGGATTTTTTTTATTTAAAAAAAATCATTTTATTGGGGGCTCGTACAATGCTTCTCATAATCCATCCATACATCCATTGTGTCAAGCACATTTGCACATTTATTGCCATCATCATTCTCAAAACATTTGCTTTCTACTTGAGCCCTTGGTATCAGCTCATTTTTCCCCTCATTACCCACTACCCTCTCCCTCATGAACCCTTGATAATTTATAAATTATTATTTTGTCATATCTTACACTATCCGACGTCTCCCTTCACCCACTTTCTGTTGTCTGCCCCCGAGAGAGGAGGTTATATGTAGATCCTTGTAATTGGTTCCCCCTGTCTATCTGACCTTCACTCCACCCTCCCAGGATCGCCATTCTCGCCACTGGTCCTGAGGGATTTATGTCCTGGATTCCCTGTGTTTCCAGTTCCTATCTGTACCAGTATACATCCTCTGGTCTAGCTGGATTTGTAAGGTAGAATTGGGATCGTGATAGTGGGGGGTGGGAAGCATTTAGGAACTAGAGGAAAGTTGTATGTTTCAGCATTGCTACGCTGCACCCTGACTGGCTCATCTCCTTCCCCGCGACCCTTCTGTAAGGGGATGTCCAGTTGCCCACAGATGGGCTTTGGGTCCCCAATCTGCACTCCCCCTCATTCACAATGATTTGATTTTTTTTCCCCCTGGATGCCTGATACCTGATCCCTTTGACACCTTGTGATCACACAGGCTTGTGTGTTTCCTCCATGTGGACGTTGTTGCTTCTTAGCTAGATGGCAGCTTGTTTATCTGGGTCAAGGATTTATAGTCTTCCTTTAACCTGTTGTCATCAAGTGGATTTTAGTTCATAGTGACCACTTATTATGCCAGACTTCTACATGTTGATATACTTTATAAAAAGACATGAATGGCCCCTGGGAGCTGTGCTATCCTACCTCCCAGGAGAACAGAATCAGAAGTGGTTTTACAAGTCACTTGGCTAGCACTTCTGTTTCATGCCTGGTATTTCTATTGCAGGCTCCAGAAACTTCAAAAGGTATCATTTAAAAGCCATCTTTTATTTTATTGTTGCAATACTTACCCAGCTCCACAGGTAACATTTTTATAGGATTCCGCTCTAAAAGTAAAGTTTTCAAGTGCCTTTAAAACAAAACAAAATAAAACAAAACTGTAATGTAGAAAGCCGAAGATTAAATGACCATCTTTAAAATACACCATGCAAAAAAATCAGTAAAATGTACCATGATGAGTCTCTTCATTTTTCTCTTTAAAGGGGCAGCTTTGTGGGGGAGTCCATGCACTTTAACACAGACAGACACACTTACACAGTGTAGGTGAAGACAAACACAGGCTGTGCAGGACGGCCGATCTGAGACAAGCTTTCTCAACCCCAGCACTACTGACCTTTAGGGGGCTGTCCCTTAGGGGATCCTTGCATGTTCAGAAGCCCCTTCCCCAGCCTGCACTCCTCCAGCCAGGAGTGCCTCCGCAGACATGACAACGGCAGGCGCTCCCACAACTGGACACCCGTCTCCTGGATGTCAAACTGCCCCTGGCTGAGGACACTGCTGTGGGCTTCGCTACCGTGCAGTGGATACCGGTGTGTTTTGAGGAATTCCCATTCTCAAAGGTCCTCTGGGCAAGTTTTCTGCGGGCTAGAACGTAGGGAGACTCCCACTGTACCCTGCCCTGTTTGTCCCTTAACTGCCCATGTGCTGCGCACTCCGAGCAGTCTCAAAGTCGGGGGACCTATGTTAAGGTGGGGTTTCCTCCAAGTACAGTGTGTGACTGCAGAGCCTGCTGACACCCAGGAACTGAGGTTCTGCAGGTGCCATCGCGAGGCCCTGCCTCGACGTGTCTGTCGGCATCTCATCCTTATGGCTTTGTCTGGCGTTCATCCTTCACGTAAAGATGAGCTCAAGTGCACCTGTCCTGAGGAGCCTGCTTCTCACTCCACCCCTCCCAGCCCAGCCTCTAGCTGTGTAGTCCCAGCATGACCCTACAGGTGATGTGTGTGTGTGTGTGCATCTTCACATCCCATTAAAAATGGAAAGTTCTCGAAGACAGAGGCTATATATTTAGCTTCTTTTAAAGAGAAAGCGTGAGAGCAGGTGGGTGGGAAGAAGGCACACTGACCAGCTATTAACACCCTAATATGTAGGGGCCTTTTCACCTGACTTATACAGCAAATTGTTCTTGAATACATTTTCAGTGATAGGTTCATCCCTTAAAAATGATCAGTAATTCTAAGTTTACCTCTGGTCATTTCGCTTGACTTTCGACTGACAGACCCACGAACAGGTAAGTATTTGTGTGCTGTGTGCATTTGCAGAGCTGTGTCGCGGGAACTGGGCCAGCTTCTCCAAGGAGGCGTTTCTTCTCGCCTCCCTCGGAGCCCTCGCTCACCACCACCCCTCAGACACGGAGAGGGGTGACAGCAAGACTGCCATTGTCTTAATTGTAATTTTTGAAAAGATTAGGGCTTTTAATAAGCCCATAATTACTTAAAATTCTTAATTAATATGTTTCAGCTCTTCCGCAAGCTGATCTAATGTAATGATAGAACGGGTTACAAATTGCAAGCAAAATTATATCTTAAAACCCCATTACACAGCTGGCTTTGACTGGCAGAGTCAGAATTCCCGAATTTGAGAACGTTCTTATTTTAGGAAAACTCGTGGTACTGGTGGGACGATGCTGTCGTTTATTTTTACCCTCCAAGTGGCAGCTCCCTTCAGGACTGAGCGCCAAGTCACAGGGGCTCCGTGTGAAGACCTGGGCCTTCTCCAGGAGACCCTGATCTCGGGGTCAGAAGGCCGGAGAGGCCACTCAGGCTAAGCTGTGAGCGACAGGGTGGTCCCAAGACAGGGCAGCTCAGTCCCCTCTGGTCAGTCAGGGCTCAACAAGTGCTGGAGCTCAAGACCCCGTCCTCGTGGTCACATCTGGACACTCAGGGACAAAACGCAGGGCAGGCGACCTGCTCTGTTGCCTGAGGATACCAGACCTTGGTGCTTCAGAAGTAAGGGGCCGCCCATACACACCTCTCTTCCTGTTGTGGCCCACAGCCCCCTGTCCTCCCCCAGAGAGTGGCTAGCCTTCCTTGCCAACAGCCACTCTCCTGACGTCACATCTCGTTCAAAGGAAGACCTGTCCTCGTGGGCCGCCTCCTCCTTACCCCCCACCTTGTTCCAGTCATTCACACGGGTCACATGGCTGACCCCACACCTGACCAGCCCATTCCCCCAAGGGGCCTGTAGGCTTTTCCTCTGCCCGGAAGGCATTCCTGGGACTCTTCACTTCCTCCTCCTTCCATCCAAGTCCTTGGCCAAGGATACCTAGTAGAGAGGTCTTCCTGACCCCTGACCTCCACCTGCCACTGGTGGTGGCATCCATCACTGCAGACTCACTGGGCATATATGTCTGTCACCTGCTCTGCTGGGACAGTGCCAGCACCCTGCAGGACCTCAGCAACACTGGTGTCCAACAGTTGTCACCTTAGCAATGCCCCAATGGCACTAACGGGGCTGCCTCTGTCGGCACCAGGGGTGATTGAGCCCAGGAGATGGGGAGGTGCATCATGAAGTCCACTCCTAAGGTGTGAGAAGACGGACAAGGTGGGGGAGTGGGACAGGACAGGGTCCTCAGGGGAAGAGGCTGCTTACTACAGCTGCTCACCACATCACTCCTGGGGGGCTGGGCAACCGCAGAGTGCACAGAGAGGCGGGCAGCCTTGGAGGCCAGCACCTACTACACTGGGCACAACACTTCCCTCCAGCATGACTGCCTGGCCTCAGACAGAACCGATCAGGCCATGGCTGCTGGCCAGGGCCTGTGAGGGGTGGAAGGGGCTGGAGAATGTTTTGAATGTTCTGGAACGGGGAGAGAGTGAGTTCATGGGGCGAATACTCCAGAGTCATTTCTGGATGTCACCTGCCCCCTGAGTATGTCCCTGACACTGCAGAGCTGTCCCCCTCTACCTCACTCCCCCGAGCATGCCCCCAGGGGACTGCTGGCCACCTCTTAGCTGCCTTTGGTTTCTCTCCTGAAGTCAGATTCCAGCCTGAACAGACTCAGCTTTGTGTTGTACAGACAGCCACTCTCTGCATTTTCAGCTGAAGCGTGTGCCCTTAGGAATGCTGGGAATTGCGGCCAGAAAGCTTACTTGTGAGATCCGATCCCCGCAGGGAGCACTTGGATCCGGTTGAACCTGAGATCCAGCCACGTCAGCTCGGGCAGTAACTGGAAGAAGTCTTTAGGGATCGTGCAGAGAGAATTTTTCTGAAGATACAGTTGCTTACGGGAGAAAGAAAGGTCAGTCAGGGGGTGCTGGTGAACCCACTCAGACCCCCTGCATGGCAAACGGACAGAGGCCGAAAGCACTCCCTCAGGCCACAGCAACTGGCCACGTGAGTGGGCTGAGGGCGGGAGGGATGTGTCTGGGCCACAGTCCACAGGTTCCAACCCTTTTCCTCCCAGATACCTGGCCCCTGACCTAATCCCACAGCTCCTGGAATTTCCAGCATCTTGGTCCCAGGGGGATGCCAATACGGGAAAGGCTGCGGCGGCGGGCAGGGTGCCCACTGGCCCACGTACCTTCAGCTGGGGCATTTGGAAGACTTCTCTGAAGCGGTGGAAGCCAGTCTGGCTCAAGTCTAACACAGGCAAGCGGGAGACGTCGCCCAGCCCCTCATTGGCAGCCATGGGCGGCTCCTCGGCAGCAGGGGCAGGCCGGGCCCTTCCTTCACTGGGACCATCATCATCTTCTTCCTCGGTGGGGGTGGCGGCGTCAGCAGCTGTGGGCACTCGGTGAGTGCAGCTCCCCTCCATCTGTCCACCAGGAGGAAGGGGCGCTCCTGCCACTCAGGGTCATCCTCCCTGGTCTGTGGTCACCTGGGGACGGGCAGCAGGGTAACGCAGACATTCACAGTGGCACAAGGCAGGCACTTGCAGGCTGTGAGCCAACAGCTGATCAAGCTCTCTTTGTAGAGAACCAAGTCACCCATCTGAACGTGAGTGAACTTTGTGGGAAACAGCCACCTGAGGAAGTGCCAATCAAAGTCCTTCTCCTGTTGTCATGAGATTCCCACACTTGCACTTCCAGGCCCTCAGAGCGCCAAGGTGCACTCTGGGAAGGGGGCTTGGGTGGGGCATAGAGATGCCTCTATGGGATGCGTGGGGCTGGGGGCTCACCCTCGTGCCCTCTGAGGTCCAGGAGCACGCTGCTGGGGAAACCTACTGGTTCAATGAGAACTCTGGATCTAGGTCGTTCACCACATCTGCCCACCACCCATTCTGGGGCTTCGGCGGGCTGCCAGCTCCCTGGGTCGAGGCCTGCTTCCACTCCGAGGCCACCAGGGTGTGTCCTGCACGTGGCTGCGTCCTTACTAGACCAGGGCCGCCGGCTCGTGTGGGCGCGTTAAGAAAAGGGAGTGGGATTCCGCGGGCTCTGAATCCCCCACATGGAGTCCGGGTAGGCATCATCAGTCAGTTGGGGGCGGGGTGAGGCAACACTGGACCCTGTGGTCTGGGTGAAGCCAGGTCTGAGCAGAGGCCTGCGGGGCGCGTGGCCAGGATTCCTAGCTTGGGAATCCTAGGCGGGGAGGGGAGGGTTACAACTTCCCCACCCTCTCAGCGGAGAGGAGAACGTGCTCTGGGCCTCAGACTGACGGGCTCCCAGCTCAGTTTCCCTTCCGGCCCGGCTGGCTGGGTGGGACTGGACGCTGAAGGGACGGCAAAAGGGTGCCGCGGTCTCCTCGGGGACCACCACACCCCATCCCGCCCCCGCCTCGGTCTCCGCCTCCAGTCGCCAGCGCCCCGAGACCCGCTGATCTCCCCGCCCCGGCGCCCCCGGTCCGGTCCCGGTCTCCCCCGCCTCACCTGCGGCGCCAGGGCCCCACTAGCCAGCTCTTCAGCGAGGTCTGGCCCTGGAACGGTGGGACCCAACCCAGAAGGCCGCGGACGCCGGCGGTCGCCATGGAGACGCGTCTCTGTACGGAGGCCCGCGGGCGCCAGACCGCACGCGGTGGTGCGCGTGCGCACGGCGGCTCCCGCGGCCGGCTCTTCCGGGTTCGCGAGCGCCCAGCCTGGCTCCGGGGAGCCTTGGCCACGGACCTGCGGCCACTCCACCCGGCAGCTGATGACGCAGAGCGAGCGAGGGACGGAGACCTGCGGACTCCGGTCGGGGCAAGGGGAGCCCTCTGAGGAGGCTGAATGGCTGAGACCCGGAGTCGAAGGAGCCCTGACATGAGCAGAGGAGCATCCTAGCCCGAGGGGGTCGTGTGTGGATCCCCGGTGTCCACCCCCCGCCCCTCCCGCCCACACACACACACACACACACACACACACACACACGCACGCAGAAGGCATGCTGGGAAGGTTCTGCTTCACAAAACAAGAGGTCCCGAGTTGGGGGCAGTTCCAGGGAACGAGATTTGGTGCCTGCGAGCATCATCAAGAGTTGGAGTCTGAACATCTTTAGATGTGACCACTGTTCAGGTGGGCCTGCTGCCTCGTCAAGTCACAGGACTGCAGTCCCAGGCACAGTGCCCACGTGGACATCCGTGGCCAGAGGGAGAATAGGGCCTGACTCTTCAAACCCCCAGCAGATTGCCTCAAGAGCTCTCTGGTCAGAACTGCTTTAAATATCTAGACAGTCTGCAGCAAGGGGAACGCGATCTTCAACCAGCCATGCCTCACGTGATCTCCTGGCCTGGCCCACCTCTCTGGAGACCACTGGTATGGACTGTGGATTCTGGTAGCAACCAGGTCTCAGTAAGAGAAGCAGGACTACTAGGGGATTCTTTTGTTAAGAGAACTCTTACAGGGACTTGACGCTCAGCAATCTTGGTTGAACCGTCTGAAGGTCATGACTGGAGTCAGGTCCACAGGGCAGGCAATCGGGAAGGGAAACTGGACGACACAAAGTGAGAGGAAGCGAAGGTAGGGACAAACGAACACCAGCACAACTGGAGCCCACCAGATAAGACTCAGCTCTAATGATGTGATGTTCTGCAGAGCAACGTGCACACCTAGGACAGGAGCTGGAGAAGCTGAAATAGGTACCCCTGTAGCCCTAGCGACCTACCACCCTATGCCGATGATGCAAGTTATCAGATAGACCACAGCATGCAGGAGCTGAAACATCAGTGGACCACACTGACCAGAAACACACAGAGGAGTTCTGGGTAACATAATTGAGCCTGGGCAAATGGGTCTGTTGCAAAACCATCACATACTTGAACAAAAAGTGGAGTTCTGTTAGAAATGAGGAAAGAGTGAATGATTCTTGTTAAAAAAAACAACAAGACCCACTTTTTAAAAAAATGATTGGATTTCTGCTTCTATATGATGATCTAGGTCATTTATACTAACCCCTTCACTGAACCTAGGAAACATGGACAAATCAAAGGTGGCATGGTTTTAGGTAAGTGCAGTGAAGAAGAAGGAGGTCTAGGTCAAAGAGGACTCACAGGGCAGTGAGCATGGCTATTGAAGTTGCTGTTCTTGGGTGGACATCTGTCTGTCTGCAAGAGACCCTGGAAGGCTCACCTGCTGAGCAAAACCCTCAACAGACCGTTGGCCAAAGGGTCAAGATTGTTTTCTGAGACCACCAAGGAAGTAGAGGCTAGTTCCCAGCCTCTGGTTTGGGACTCTAAAACGTGCAGTGACAGGAAGGGTGAAGTACGATCAAACTGCAGGGACTGAGCTCAGCTTCACACTGAATCCTGATTGTCTATAGATGACCTAGGGTTAGAGTGGTGGCACAGGGGATTATGGATGGGGCTGCTAACTGCAAGGCCAGCCCAGCTACTCTGTGGGAGAAAGACGAGGCGTTCTATTCACATGAAGAGTTCTAGTCTCAGGGGCCGACGCGACAGGAAAGATGGCTGCCCCAACATTTACTGCGAGCTTGTGTTCCCTGCTCTCTGCAGGTCCTCCACATTGGGCCCACCCCCTTCCTGGGTACCCTTTTCTTGGTGTGCCTTTGAACGCTTTGCTGATTGATTGCGGATCAGGAGTTGCCACTAAGAAGCACTTGGATGAGATGTGGAAGGCCGAAGAGAAGGGAAGGCTGTTCAGTCTGGAGGCAAAGGGCAGATGATAAGCAGCCTGCAGGCAATACATGTTGGTGCGGAGGCCACATCTGATCTCTGCTAGACAAGGGAGGAGAATCCAGTTCCTCAACACCTCAAGACCAAGAAGTAAGACATACCCCCACCTCCATCCTACATTTACTCTGTCCTGATACCCATGTTCTTCCCATGACGTGCTACTTCTCTGCTGGGTTCTGTAATCTTACAATGGCCAACCTGTAAGTCAATGACAATACTCACAGTGAATGGGGTTTATTAGGGAAGTTACCGGGTTACCATGAGTCAGGACCAGAAAGCACTAAGGATACAGTCTTTTGTCTACACCAATACTTCTGCCGGAGACAAGTCTCTCTCTAGTCCTCAGCCTTTTAAGCCATGTGATCCATTGGCCTCTGCCTCTGTGGGCCCGGAAGCCTGCTCCCTCTGTTCTCTCCCACCGTCCCCTTGCCTCAGCCGCTGGTCTCTGTGTGGCATGGTGACACCCTCCCCCACCCCCCCACTGCAGGCAGGGATTTCCAACGTGCTTTGCTGAGAAGTCTCTCTGCTCCTGCTTCTGAAATAGCTTTCTCACGACCAGAGGAGTGGCAGTCAAAACCTCTCCATCCCATTTCAGGGTTTCACACACTCTATTTGCATAGTCCGACCCCATCATCTGGTGGGAGTTAGGGAGCCATGGTAGGGAGCCACAGTACAGGACTTCACCTCAGACAGGTATAATCGCAACAGATACTTCAATTCCAAGGGCGCAAGATGGGGAGACACAAATGAGTCACTGACATCCCGCTGGCATTTGTTAAAGGTTCTTTGAAGTCACAAAGCCTTGAAATAATTCTTCATGGCTCTTGGCTCCACGCTGTGGCCTCTGGTCCCAGCCTCTGAATCATCTTCTTCTTGAAAGGCAGGAAGTGTCTGCGATGGAATAGTCTCTCAGTCTGCCTTCTGCCAGTAGAATCGGGGGCTGTCCAGAGGCCTGTGGGATTTTTGATGACTATATTTTTAATTTTATCTTTTTATACCTCTTGTTCGTGTTTTATTTCATCGAGTTTTTGTTTCAGAACTCCCTTTTTTTAACCTTTGTGGGTGTTTTCCCTTCTTTTGTGCACCACGGGAATCCTAGACATGCTTATTTTACATGACCGTTCACTGTGACTGGTGTGGGTGACACTTCATCATAAAGAAAGCAGCCTCCCCCCACGGGACCAACTGACAACATCACGATCAGTAGAGCAAAGACAGAAGTCGTCAGTGATTTCATTTCACTTGGGTTCGTAATCAGTGTCCCTGAAGCTGCAGTCAAGAAATGACCAACAGCCCTGCACTGGGCAAATCTGCTGCACAAGCCCTCTTGAAAGTGTTCCGAAGGAAAGATGTCTGTCGCTTTGAGGACTAAGGAGGGCTGGCCACAAGCCCGGGATTT